AAGAAAAAATAAAATAAACGTTTTCCCAGACCATTGTCGGGAAAAACAACCATTCATGCAAACTCTTCTACCTAAGGGCAATTTTAGATAGATATGCACCGATCGGATACTGTACCTGGATTGGATTTCGGGTTTGATATCGACTAATTAGCCAAATCAGATATCGGTGATTTAATATTGGATATGAGAGATCAAATCCAGTGCAATTTACATAAAACTATTCTTTTCATTTGGCTGCTTGTTTGTTACTAAATATTTATAAAGTACATTTATATCTGTGTTCATTTGTTACCTTTTTTGCAATGTTCTATTTCAAGACTAAAGCCTTCACTCACATTGTAAGATGTATGTTTCATTTACTTAATAGTTAAAAAGTATCAATATAGGATATCAGCTGATATAATCAGCAAAAGTATCGGTATCGGATTGGATCTGACAGAAAATGGATAGATGGATATCTAGTTTCAAAGTACCATCTAAATAGCCTAAGCTAAACAAATCCACACAAAATACACACTGTTCATGTTTTCTGAGAGGTAAAATGTAAATAACTGCACTAATCAAATATTATTGCAGCATTTCATGGATCTTGAAAGTATACACAGCATTGCATTTTTTCACATTTTGTTTGGTTACAGTTTCATTTTAAATCTTATAAAAACTATCAATATCAATAAGGAAAAAAAAATGTTTTAAGATTGTTACACATTTGTTGAAATAGAAAAATTGAAAAGTTACAATTTCTCAAGAAATTATAGCCTATGCTTTTTACATTATTGATTCACCTTTGACAGCAATTCCAGAACCAATTATTTTTTAATGTGATACACACAAGTTCAGTGAACCTTTCTTTAGGGAGTTTGACCCTTTCTTCTTTGTAGTGCATCTTCTTATGAATAAATGCAATGGCGTAACCATTGGTAAGCAGAGACTGCGGTTGCTTAGGGGCCCCGTCACTGACACCCGGTTGGCCCCCCTACGCAATTGTGGACTAGGACCTCTCTATGCAGATGTAAGTTTGCGAAAAATTACTCTTAAACCCAGCTGTTACTGGGTTGACTGACCGGACAGTATTTATACCGCAACACATGGCAGATTTCAACATGATGGTGAGCTGTTTAAACACGACACCAATAGCAAAGCAGACAGTGGTACTTTTAATTCCTGTGTTAATAACTGTGTATAGTTTATTAGACGGTTGGTAAAATAAATATGTTTCAAACCGCAATAAAGATCTTAAAAGAACGATGTATTTGAGTATTTAATTTTTTACAATACGACTTGGAATTATGGGTAATCCAGAGTGTAGATTAAAACCAAAACTCTACCATGTGTTAGCGATGGGGGGGCGGGTAGGGGATGGGGATGTTGTACTTCACATGGGGCCCACCCAGATAATGTTGCTTATGGGCCTATTGTTGTGTCGTTACGCCATTAAATAAATGGGATATGTTTGTGCTTATATATTTTCAGATCTCTTAAGAAATGTTCAATTCAAATCAAATAAACTGTACTCATTAGGGCCTTTGAAGCAGAATTATTATTTTTTTTTTTTTTCAGTTATGCCCGGAATGGTCACTAAACACTGTCTTGGCACAGAGGTCTACTGGCTATTCCTATGACCCATGCTCAGTATTTCCGTTCTAACATGCAGAACCACAGGTGATCTGGATTTTTGCTGCAACATCTCAAGGATGATGAATGGAAGAAATATGCATCTCAGCTTAATAATAAGTAAATTTGCAAGAATATTAAGAATGTTTTTACACAATCTCATAATGGGGTATTTTGTGTACAACTCTAAGAGTAAACATTTATTAAGTAGCCTTTAAAAAATAGTACATCTGTGTACAGATCCACTTTCTATCCAGAACATGGATATATATCAACTGTGATGGGTAACCATAACAAATCACAGGATTTGACACTTTATTTATTTACGTTTGGAAACAAGATATTAATTCTTACATAACCCTAAACCTGCTATGCATTATGAAAACATGTGTGGCATGGTGGGACTTTTTATGTATATTGCAGCCTTAGAAAGTTGCTGAAAGCATATTGTTTATAATACAATCTCCTAGCACAACGCTTGACATGCCAGTGTTGATTATACATTGCAAGGCGTAAACACAGCTCCACTCATTTATTGGGATCTATAACGTGTAGCCGAGTGAACACCGAGCTGCTACTTTGTCCCATTTCTCCTTGCATCTCATTTATTACATCTCATATTGCAACAAATTTCCTGGAGATGAAATTGGGCATTAAATATGTTGCAAAGCTATTTGAATTTCAATGAGAGCCAGGTCTTTCCATTTGGGCAACACATTCCCCATTGAATTGTTGCTATAACAGACTCTTTTCAAGAGTGAACACTTCGGTTTGAATTTAATTAATCCATCTGTGAACTATTGTTGCACAAACAAACAAACTGTATGCACAAACATGCACAAAAGAGCAAACACATGTTACTCACAGTTATATATATATATATATATATATATATATATATATATATATATATATATATATATATATATATATATAAAAGAACAATTTTCTCTCTTGCTCACTAAGTGATCCACAGTCAAAAAAACAAAGCCCTGGCTCATCCTTATTCATGTTCTGGTGTGCCATAGCAAACAAAAATTTCCCCAATTCCTTCTGTTTATTAAAAGGTGAAGAATGATTTTCTTTTTGAAACACTTCTCATTAACTATGATTTAAAAAGGGACAGAGTGTTGACAAATAAAAAAAAGAACATATCACAGTCTATGTTCAGACTGAAAATTATTTATCCTGTAAAGTGTTTGTCTGCCTCGTGCACAAGAAAACACAAACTAGTGACATTTTCAAAGCTTGATGTTTGAATCCTGCTTTTGGCCAATTTTTTAATAAAGTGTCTAAAATCAGTTAGATTTAAAAGCCCACAGGTAAAAAAAGCTTAGCTGTGTGTTTTGAAAGCTGAATGTGTTTAGATCTAATTATTTTTTTCTCTTCAACAACTGGACATGGACTTGCAAAAGTAATTAAACACCTTGAACCTCATTACATTCTCTCACATTACAGCAACAGACTTAGGTCTTTCAATACATTTTTTTACATACTCAACCACAAAGTAGTGCATATTAATAAAGTTGAACGATTATGGTTGATGGTTTTTAAACGTTTATGCAAAAAAAAATCTGAAAATAGTTGTGACTAATTGCATTAAGGCAACCTTGATTTAGTGCTTTGTTAAACCATGTTTATTGGTATTACAGCATTAAGTCTCTTAGAAATATAATTTATCATCCAGCTTTGCACTAAATAAATAATTAAGGTTTTGTTCACAATTGTTTTGGAAAATAACTTTATATACAGTCTACTAGAAATTGAAATTGATTTTTTTTTTTATTGTTACAGCCTTTATAAAAATGCTCATATGAAAGAATGGGCTGGCAGGATTTAAAATCTAGTAATTTAACTTGGACAAATGAAAGGGTCAGTGTCCTGTTTTTAGGGAGTTTTTTTTTTTTTTTTTTTTTTTTTCATCCAAAACCCAAAAATGAAAAGAACAAAATGATTGGTTAGTTCAGGTAGTGTTTGTCCTTAATGACTAAATACTTTAGCAATGCTTATAGAAAGTTTTAACATGCTCTTTCAATTCTGTTATCCAATAAAATTTTCTATACTAGAATTGTTGGTCCATTACTAACCTACTAATGCTGTTAGGTTACCATAATCTATGCTTCTTTTTTTAAAGTGCTATTTAGATGAAGATGGTAGAGAAAGACATGGTTTTCTTCATGATATTTTGTTTTAAATGTGTATTTTTTAAAAGCGAGGACCAGCTGAACCAAATCAACATAATAATTTTTAGAAAACGAGGATGATCTGGACTAATCTTTCAACAGGTTTGACACACCCTCTCTTTTTCATTCTATTCTATTCTATTCTATTTTAATCACCTTTTACTTTGATGTAGGGACACATGAATTTCCCCAAAAACTGCCAAAGTTATTTACTTTCTCTTATCCTCTTATCTATTTCATTTGATGTGAAATACCTTGGCCCATCAACTGACACTAACATTTGTTTATCTGCTTGTCTCAATAAAAGAAGGACCGTTTATAGGAAGGTCCTTATTAAGTGTAATATTTTTTAGGCATATTGTGTTAATTTACCGTCACTTAGTTAACATGTATGCATATATGGCAGGATTTTCATGGAGTATCAGATTGGGAATCTGCATCAGCAAACAGCTGTTCTTAAATAAGCCTGATCAAGATCAGGGATCTTGATAAGGTTGCAGCCTACAGCCAGATCTCTATAGTCAGCAAATTTAAACAAGTACTTTGTATTTCCAGGGAGAGATCCATAAAGCACCAGTCAGTTAACAGCCTTTGTTCACTAACACTAACACCCTGGCCCTATGAACTGATTGGCAGACAAGCCTCCTACACTAACACATCAGTGTTAAGACTGCTCTCTTTACTTTGGGCTGACATAAGAAAACAACAACACAAAAAACTGACTTATGACTGACACTGCAGGAGGGTGACGTGTCAGGGTAAAACCAGAAGAGTGGCACATAGGCGGGTGAAGTAAAGAAAAAAAAGGGCGTACGGTTCAACTGAACAATATTTGTGTCCTTTTTTTTGTGAGTGTGATTTTTGTTTTCAATCTAAAGTCGATTGTAGACTGCTAGCCTGCACACAGAACCATGTACAAACAAAAACGAAAACTCAGATGAGTTTTTACATTGAAATTAACAATAACTCAACCTAAAACTAAATATAAATATTAAATTCTATCTAATAAGCGTTTTTCTTTAGACCAGGTTTTAGCAATTGTTTTCTATATCATTAAAAGCACAACAAAAAATGTATTAAGCTAGATTTAACTACTTTAACAATTCACACTGTTCCTTCACCATCATCAACCCTGATAAATTAAAACCTACTCCCACTGTTAAAGGTGTTAATACTGTAAAGTGTGGTGTTTGAAATACTTACAGTTCTATGGCCTTGTTCCACATGATAACATATCCAGACAAAATAAAGGATTCTATGTTGACAATATGTGTGTTTCCACGCTCCGTCCCCACGTAGAGCCATTTACTCTGAAACGGTAGGTGGCAAAAGGTGATCCTGGAAAACAAAGGAGTTCGGTAAATTAACCAACTGTCTGAACCTGATGCAGAAGGATGGTAATGGATAAATTCATATGTATTAGACTAAATATTAAAACAACAGCTATCTTTTATATATATGCAAATTTGACAATATGAACAGAACCTTTCAGTTCACAGAATACCTAACAAAGTAATGTAGGACAATAACATTACTGAAAGTATGATTTAATCAAATCTGTGTAAAGAGCTTGATCACTTTCAAGTATAAACTACATGACATAAGATGATCTTTACACATTCAAGAGTATTTACCATATTTGTTTATTTTTGGACTGCTCTGAAACTTCCAAATCAACGCCATGTCTCTCCTTGACATGGTCGCAGCCCTGATAGCTGATCTGATTACTCACCTCGCTCACCTGCCGAACCCACTCTCCGCTCACTAATTATCATTCATCTTATCTACCTGCTCCTTCTGCTTTATATACGGTTCAGCCCAGCTATCAGGGCCAGATCAGTGTATAATGTTTATTCATTTGTTTGGGTTTTAGTTTTTTTTTTCCATAGTTCAAGTTTTTGTTCTAGGAGGCCAGTTGTTAGAGATGGTGTTAGTGTTGTCTTGTCATGTCCTGATCATGTCCTGGCTCTTGCCCAATGGGTGCTCCCTGTTCCTGTTTTGGCTCGGTGGAAGGGAGCCAGTTTAAAGTTAGGCAGTTCTCCTGGTACCATCCATTGTCTCTAGCCTCTCCACCTCTGAGTCGGCTTGTTTTCATCCGAGCGTGTCTGCCTGACCTCGCTGCTGGACTCATGCGACTCTGAATCTGCCTAAACACTCTGTGGATTCCTGGAACCCTGGATCTGTCTGTTCCTGCTCCGATCGGAACCCCTGACCAGGTTTCGGACTCCTGGATCTCAGAACCGTCCTTGTTCTGGACTGTTTCCCTGACCTGGCTTAGACATTTGCCTGTTTAGATGTGGCTAGTGCATCAGGGACACTCTGGGAGACTCTGCGCCGCATCTCGTTGGCCATCCATTGGCTGGATCCTGCCTCACTCTTAGGAGTCGGACTGAACTTACCTTAAACCAGGTAAGTGACTCACATTGATAATCATCTTCCATCCGATTATCGTGGTCACTTAGCTGTGTGACCACCTAAACAGGAGTGCCAGTGATGGTTTGTGCCCCGCCTCCCCCCGCAGTCGCTGCAGATCCTCAGATCCACAGAACTGCTTATTCTCTGTTCTGCTTGTTTTGAATAAATGCTATGAAACTTCCCAATGTCTGTCTCGCCTGAATACTGGGTCCTACATTCTGGGGTTATATGACGCTCCTATTTACATTTTGATAACTGCTGCACTTTATGATTGGAAATGTTCATTTCACTGCCAAGCTGCTCAATCACTGTTGAAAAAGCTGTATGTATGAAAATGTCGTTTTGTAAACACTCTGTGTATACAAAATTAAAATAAGGTTTGTCCAAGTCTAAGTCAAGTATCATATTGCAGGACCTGGAAAAAAACTATTATAAATATTAAAAACTAACTTTTTCTGTTTTTGCACTTGATTAAAATTTTTTGAAAATATAGAAGTATGTTATGACAAAAAAAGCATTTTCTTTTCTTTTTTTTAACCAGTTAAAGCGTTCCCTCTGTGAGAAACACTTTCAGTATAAAACAACTAGAAAACTTGGTGTTAAGGAAGGGAGTGGTCTAAGGTAAGGAAAAAGGACTTAACTCATTCTCTTTGATATACAGGAAGTCAGTTAGCTATTGAAACATGTAAAATATTTTACATTAAAATATCTGCTGATCTCTTTTTGTTTTATGAAACCCATAATCTATAATGTCCATATGACCCTCCTACATTTTAGTCATATAATATTCTCTAGTTTCTTTACCGTTTGAAAAAAGAATGCCTGATCTTCAAAAGACTTGCTCACAAAGCGTTAGCTATGGAATACAATTTCTCCGAATTAAATAAACAAATAATTATGAAATATAAATTTTAAGAATAAGATATATATATAATGTGAAAAGAAATCTGGGGAAAAAAACTGAATGCAAGTAAAATTCAAAGCTTATTATTAAGAAATAGTAAAAAAAAAAATGCTATTTGAATAATTTGGTAATTTTACTAGCCTTTAGTTATTTTAAAAATTGCCTTTTTGAATATTTATATATGTTTTCAATAAGATATTCATGATTATTAAATATATTCACTTAATCTTAAGCATTTTTGAGTTTCATATGTTGCACACGCAAAGCTAATCTTCATACAAGGTCCAAAGAGATTTGTGTGTTCAAAATTAGAGGGTAGCACCTGAAAACATTTTTTTTAAACATGTACAACCATGAATATGCAGATCAGAGTCTAATAATCAGAGCTCAGATTTATTGGTGGATGTTATGCAAATGAAACTCTAAGCAGCCACAAAGAGATTAAATCCAAAAGGAAATGGGGGGAAGGTCTACTCTTACGAAGCTTAAAAGTCAGGTGCAAACCCAGACTTGATGTTCTTTAAATGGCACATAGAAGAATTATATTTTTATAATTACTGGCCATTTTTGCAATTGCTTGGGTCAATTTGGTGCTTGTAAGTAAAGCAAGCTGTTTAATCTTGCTGTAAATCTGATTATCCTTCTTTCTATGAGAGGAAAAAATAAAGTACGTTTTTCAGAGAATTATGTTTCCATTACAAAGTTTTGAATATAACTTTTATTTTCCTCTTTCTCTTTTATACTTTTATATGTAGCACTTCTGCGATGGACTGGCGACCTGTCCAGGGTGTACCCTGCCTCTCGCCCATTGACAGCTGGAGATAGGCAACAGCACCCCTCGCGACCCCAATTGGGACAAACGTGTCAGATAATGGATGGATGTAGCACTTAATATATACAGTATACTTGAAAAGTGTACTCACTATTGATATCATTCACTATTATTGTTATCATTCTCACTTCCTCCTTTTTAATGACCAATCTCCAGCCGCCCGTAGCTTAGGAACCTTTTACTCGGTTACCAAAGCTCTTTCCACGTCTTAAATTTTCCACATGGCATCTTTGTAGATCACTGACAATATATTCCCCTAATGCATTTTATTCTAATGCAATTTTCTAATGTTTATTTTGATTCTCCAACGATTAGGTCCAGAGTGTGTGACTGCAGTTTTCAGCATGACCATATATCAGAGTTATAAGGTTTCCAAGCTCCATTACATGTGCAGGATTAGCCTAAGGCGACATTCGTGCCCAAGCAACCTGTCAATGCAAGAGAATTCACTGTAGACAGACCACCACAGCAACACCACTCTATGGTTAGACACATGGGCGTAGGTTTGCATAGGGACCATAGGGACATGTCCCTACCAAAATTTTGAACCAACCTAATTGTCCCGACCAATAATTGGATGTGAGCAACAATAATTAACAATAATTTACAGCAGTTGTTGCAGCAGTGGCTTCTTTTCCTCTCGCAGCTCCTCTGCCTTGTCTCTCCTGTCCCTTTCATGTAGCAGCGCATGGAACTGTGCTGCGCTGTTTAACTCAACTCTCATTGGTTGTTATGCCTTAAGTTCCGCCTTCTCTCTCTCTGATTGGCTGTTTTCTAGTCCGCGTGTGCTTGGAGCGCAACATTGAAAATTTATTCACACTAGAATGCAGCGGTTACTACAATAAATATTAGGCTACAAAACTAGTCCCGATAAAAAAAAAATTAATATCATGTACACTAAAAAACAAAAACCTTTTTTTTTTCTTTTATAAAACGAAATATTCTGAGTCAGCCAGGAGTTCTGAAGACTGCTGGAAAAATGGGCAAATAAAGGATGTAAGCCATCAACATTTCTGATTCTTAGCCACAGCCAACTAAAAAAGAAAATGTGAGGGTTTGCTTTTTACCGATATTAAGTTGATATTACTGTTTTCATTTTTTTGTTTTTATTTTTACAATTTTGATATAATAACTTATCTAAGTGGGTTGCTCTGTGGGGAAAGGCACATTTTACATTTATATTACTGTGTGTTTTAAAGTCTCTATACTCCAGTTAATGATGAATCACTTACTAAATTAGTTGACGATTATTGAAATAATCAATTAATGATTCATTTTTTTCAGCCCCAGATGAAATACATGAAATTGGCTACACAGAGTAACTACAGCCCAGATGTTCAACTTTTATAGTGAAGTTAATATTTTAATTAATATATTATTTTGCTTGATACAGGGAGAGAATAGTAGGTACAAATATTAGAGTGGGGTTTAACTCTGCACAATTCTATATCTTCAAAAGAAAACACTGTATTTACCTTCTCTCTTAGTCGTTCAAAGGAAACCGTTTTCAAAGTGGAAAACAGTCCTAATTCCACATTCATCAGAGCCGGTGATACTTCAAACATTGATAAACAGTATCTAATGAGTGTAGAGCTTATAACATTTTTATTAATGGAGCAAAATGTTGCTTTTCTCTTTTAACAATGAATTCCTCTTATCAGTACGGATGCTCACATCGAGCATAAAAAAGGGCATGCATATTGCATAGCACCAATGACACCAGACCAATAGTGTCCCTACCAAAGTTCAAATCAAACCTACGCCCTTGGTTAGACATATGAGTAAAGAAACCTTTAAGACTTGCAAAATCTCTGCATGGCTCACAAATATAATATAGGCACTTGTGGTGATATAGTTGTTGGGAAAATTTTCAAGAGTAACAGAGTAACAATAATTGCAAAAGCAGAACGAAAAAATGTCTGAATTCAGTCACTCTTTTAGGGTTTCTAATTTCAGTTTGTTATCAGTAATTATCTGTGGTGAAAAACTAAAAGCCTGGTCTCACAATAATTGAAACTTTTATACATAACAGAAAATTTTACTTTGAAACTTAAGTCCTAACTTTACTCTTATCATTCCACCACATCATAGTGTGACTCACTTCCACAAGCCAAACCATGACTCATTCTGAATCAAGGTTTTATTTAGAATACAGATGTCATTAATAACCTTTGCTCTTCCTATTCT